AGGTTGTTGACGGACACCAATGTGTCCGGATGATTAGGTCCCAGTTGCGCTTCACTGCCTGCCAAATCTCTTCTGTAAAGGCCTTCGGCCTCGTCGAGCTTGCCCTGGTTCTCCAGCACCAACGTAAGGTTGTTGACAGACCTCAACGTGTCCAGATGCATAGGCCCGAGCAGCGTCTCCCGTCCCTCTAAAGCTTTCCTGCAATTCACCTCAGCCTCTTCCAGTTTCCCCCGCTGCCTCAAGACTAACCCGAGCTTGTTCACGGATTCCAGGGTCTCTGCATGCATCTCTCCCAGTACCCTTTCGCGTTCAGTCATAGCTCTTCTGCACAAAGTCTCTGCCTCCGGCAGCTTTCCTGCAAAATCCAGCATATTCGCGAGATTGTGGACCTCTCTGAGGGTCGCCGTTTCGCTGGTCGCCAGGACTCGCCGGCACAGTGGCTCCGCCTCGGCATAGTCACCGCGCGCCGTCAGCACGTTGGCCAACCTCGGAGCGATGGGGGGCGCAAGGGCCGAAATTTTGCAGTATTCCAAAAGAATGCTGAAAATGAGTGGAAATTGACATCGACTATCTGCTTTAGTTCATAATTTCGATTAATTACATTACTTTGTCTGGTTGGTGAAAAGACCAAGGCCCCAGCCGGCTTGATGCCTTGAGGGTTTCAAAATGCTCTGATCCCAGTCTCTCTTCGATAGCTTCGGCGCGGCGGCGGACCCTTGGCTAGAGAAAAACTCACAGCCAATGGATGTGAAGGAACCATCTTGAAAGCTGTGTGCAGTTTTGAGATATTCTTCTAAATTTGAAGGAGTGCCATGAAGCCTTGTGATGACTGAGTGTGGAATGCAATTATCATTACCAAATTTCAAGGAGTGCCCTGAGCGTGAGATCCATGAACCTTTGGCAAGCTGACTTTCTGATTGCAAGCAAGGGTCAACTTCACCAGAACTGCGGTGGCGTTGCTAACGCGCTTCTCTGTTTCTACTCGGATGACGATACACTGTCGACCGTTGAGCAGCTTTCCACTTAAATTCCTCGGCAGAACTTAGCCCATTTTCCAGGCAATTTAGAATTTAGCAGCGGTCCAACTGTCACCGTATGGAGTCATTCGGCGCAGTGACATGTAAGGAGATGCAAACTAGGTCTCCGGCACACCAACGGGCCTCCCCTGCGAAGAAAGCAAAAAGGGCAACGCGCAAAAAAGATCGTGCACCGTTCCAAAACACCTGAAATCGACAGTTTCGCAACTGCCTACCAAAGAAATACACATCGCAAATGCCATCCGTTTCGCCTGCTCGACCATTTCAGGTGTTTGCCTCTTGGACACATCGTAGGCGATGGATGAATCAACCAGAATTGGGATGCAAAAGGCCACTTTGGATCTGTACGACTCCTTCAGGAGATCTGAAAGGCGTCTTCTCAATAAGTTAGGCTCGCAATAGACAAACATCGGGCAGCATAAGGACATCACCGAGGAACACACAAAAGCCCTCCTCCACATCTTTCACTGCCTCAGGACCTTGCTTCTCCGCTTTCTCAATGTCTCTCTTTTTCATGTTGAGGTAATTGTTCTCAATGATTGCGTCGATGTTCTCCCACTCATCTGGGGGCTTCCGGACAGAATAAACTCCTGGCCAGTGCAGAGCCCTCGCATAAAGTGTTGATATGAACGCGTGCCCTCTCCAAGGATCTTTCTCCAGACATGTCACCTTTTTATGAACGGTGAAAAACACTCCGTGTTCAGTTTCTAGCCTATACATGCATGTCTGATCAAGCTTCTAGTTCTCAACGCAATTGGTGCAATTAGCCAGTCTTGCCTTTACCCCACCAGGCGTTGGCGTCCTTGCCCCCCGTTCTCAAAGAAGCCTGTGGATATGCAAACGCCAAGAGCTGACGATATAAAAGGAATGCCTGAAATCAAAGACATTGACTTTTGCCTAAGATTCATAAAAGCTGAGGGCATCGCGAACAGTTCCACCGCTGTCTTCCTCAAATCCGTAATATTTCTAAAGCCAAACTCATTGGTGTAGTGGAACAAACACTGCACATCGTTGGCATCGCTGGCTGTCAGGTCGAGGGCATCCTGCCAGACCTGAGAGAAACTTCTGTGGTTGCCGGGCCCCGCAACTGTGAAACGGTGTCTCAACAAGAATCAAATACCAAGCAAAACGTTCACGTTCACTTTTCCCTGGCACCTTCACGCCCAGTTTGGTGTGGACCCAGCACCAGTCTTTCGCATCATGCCGGTACTCTTTGTGATCGAAAACAAGGCCTTCCTTGTAGCCCTTCTCAAAATAATCTTTCAGACTGGCCTGAGGCAGGGAGCTGAGACGCTTTGGGACGTGGACTGAGACTGCCTAGACCGGCCCGACGAGACGGGCCCAAGGAGCCCGGATGGGCCCACGAGGTCACACGGAGTCGCATGGACCCGTGAAGCAAATGTTCGGGGCTCAGGGTCACCGGTGTTCGTTGGCCTGATAAGGCACCAGTGAACGCTAAAGGTGTAGCATGTGTGTCCTTGTGTTGCCGAAAACCCACCAATAAAAAAGCCCCTATAGGCCCTATCTAGCTGAAACGAGTTAAACCATACATGATGAAAAGGCACCGCTAAATCTGAAGGGCTGGACTGATGCTTGGAATCATGCGAAGTCGTACCATCTTGAAAGATCGCACTTCTTTTGCGATTTGGCAAAAAAGAACACGCCGTCACCTCTGTAAATGTCTTGACAACACCTGTGATAACACCTCTAGTAGCAGGATGAAAGAACACAACATAGATTTTCTCCGCCCAAAAGCTGGGACATAGATGCCTCCTTGACAGGTGGCCTGTAGAGGTGTTTCACCGGCAAACGCACAAGCAAGCATGGTGCTCATGCGCTTGGTAGGCTTCAAACAGAGTACTGTACATCTTCCACTTCCAGCCCATTGGATTACAGGAACTCTGGTGGTCAACATGCTGGTTCCGCCTCTCGCTTTACATTCTCCAACTGCTTCTTCAGTTCCTCCTTTTCTGCCTTCAAGGAACAAGCACATGGAATGACCGTGCCATCCTACTACATCCTACTACCATCAACTGTATGAGAAGCTGGTCGTGCTCAGACTGGTAGCAGCAAAGGAAGACTTTTGCCAAAGGTGCCCAGCAGTGAAACAGTACGTTTGAAGTGGGTATTTCTGTCAAATAGGATTCTTGAAACTCTTTACAAAAGTTGCGAGTTCATCAAGGTGAATCAAGGTGATGATTGTTCAGACTTGAATGGGGTGAAAAACGTTCGGTCCTGCCACTGAAGAAAATTAACATCGGCCATGAGACTTCAACAAACATCGCAGAAACATCAACACGCACTTGCCAGCCTCTACAGCCTGCACTTGTCTTCGAGCCTGAATAACCATCAGCCGAAGTCTGGGAATCATGCAGCAAGTCATTCCCTAACAGTTTATCACATGTTCAAGCAGGGCACAAACATATGGTTGTGAGACCTAAATCTCCACACATCAGTTTCCATCGAAAAGATTCGAAAAGCAGTTCTTCAAAACCACCTCCAAAAGCATGCCAAAACCTAAAACATTGCAATCTAAACTAAAACCATCTAAAACCAACAAAATCCAAACTGATAAAACATCCCTTCGCCTTAACCTCCTTTCCATTGCTGGACGAGCTCGGCTCCTCATTCTGCGCCTGGAGGAAAGCGAACGGCTTCAAGAGTTAGGGGAAAAGCTCCTTGTCTTTCCATACGGCTCATGTGGACTTGTTGCTGCTGGATCCCACCCCGCTAGAAACAAGCTGAGACTTTGCCTGTAGGCAAACCCCTTGGACACGATGCCATGTCGTGACAGACCAACAAGTGTGGATTGTAGATCATCGGCAACTCAAATACAGTACTTCCTCTTGCTTACCAGCTCTCGTGAACGGTATAAGCGCCCACAGGAACTCCCTTTCTGACGCCTCAATCGTTGAAGGCTTCTTCACATCCCACCCTTCTCTCACGCGGCTTTCGGCTTTGTGTACCTTCTCGGGCATCCACCAGAGTCAATAGAGGCATCTGGTGTTGCGACACAATATCATCAAATATCAATACTGGGTAGTGAGGCAAAGAAAACTATCAAGGACAGTCTGTTGATGTTACCCTGAACCTGAGGGTGTGTGCATGAAGAGCAGGCACCACACGTTGTTAAGAATTGCACCTTTATGCATTGTCTTGCTTGTTTAGCATGTTTGTGTACAGTATTTGAGTATGAAAAGAGACATCTTTGATAGCGCTGTGTATTGAGTCAACTCCAACAACCTTAGCTTGAAACATGTGTACTATATGTATGCATAGACTTACTTAAGTAGAAGAAAGGAAAAAAAACGTTTGCTGAAGTATTGCACAAAGCATGCAATTCACGGGAACAACAAGTCTGAAAGCACCACGAATACAGCAGAAGACAGAGAATGGTGCGCCCTGCAAGTCGTTTTGTTGAAGAGCATCACTGCAGTCCACCATCGGAGAGATTCGATCGGCCGTCTTGTGGCTAGATTCCAAACTCATCCGATCATTTAGAAGTTGCAAAAGTCGGATTCTGGCCCGTGGTGGATGCTTTTCTGCAAAAAATAGACCTCCCAAGAAGTGCACCTCGGAGGTGAAGAGGATATCCAAGAAGTCTTTCACGCCTCAAGACTTGGTTGGTTACGCCAGCTGTCTCGTTGTGAGCGCTTTGAGGGGGTCTCCTTGCCCATCCCTGCCAAGCTGCGAATCTGTGAGTCTTCTGGGTAGTCCTGCGGATCGGTCAGGGCTGCAGCCAGTGGCAAGCCAAACAAATGCAAAGGAGACCAACCCTCAGGGCCCTAGGGCGAAATGTGATGAGTTGACATATACTCGAAGAGTTCCGTCTCCCGGTTCCGCCCACCGTTTGAACATCTCCTGCAGAAGGACATGGGCCTCCTGCAATGTGCCACAAAGATCCTGAATCATTTCGATGTAGCCTTAGGATGTCACACAGCTTGGACAGCTGATGGACTCTCAATTGGTTTCCAAATTATATAGTTTGATACAACAGAACGTCTGGAACACTCGCCACCAGGCCAAACAAAATCCAAGCCAAACAAAATCCAAGTCAACTGCAGAGTCAAAAAAAGAACTGTGCTAGAATATCAACATCGACTCCTCCCGAAAGCACTCGAGTTCTACACCCCAAATCAGAATCCAACCATGCCTGGCCCAAGCTCACAGCTCCGACGCAACCTTGAAAAGTCTCCCGAAAACCGAGGAGCTTTGCCGTTCCAGCGAAAGGCCATCGCCGCCACCTCCACGCGCCATCGCCTCGAAGATCGCTTCCACCTGCCCGCGCAACTCCTCGGCGCATCCGCGGAGGATCGGACGAAACGGCCGGATCTGAAACCTGACTCAGCCTATCAAGAGCCTTCTGAGACGATCTCATGTGCTGCTCTCATGTCATGAATCCCAAAGCGGCCCGGCCGCGCCTCGCCGGCGACCACCGCGGTGAAGTCGCCGCCCCGCCGCGCTGAGCCGCCACTGCCCATGGCCTCGGCGCGACACACGCGTCGCGGTCCCGTCGGTCGGTGGGGACGGGGGCAAAGGGTCACACGGGGCCAAGGAATGTGTGAACAGAAACAGAAGAAACGAACTGAGGTTGAACGTTTCAGCTAGGTAACTAGAGGGGAAACTGGTGCATCGAATCGAGAAAGTGGCGCATTGGAGTCTTTCATTGAGGCAAATAGTGTCATCGACCGCCACACGTCCACTATATAACAGGTTTGAGATGTGCAAAAAAAATGCCATATACATATATATATATATATCCATATATGCCATATCCGAAGTAAACCTGAATGCAAAGGCCGGTCCATATCCAAAAAACTATGCTGCCCTCCTCAGGTTGCGCCCTGCACAGGCAGCACAAGCAGCGGTAGCACGGAAAGCCGGGAGCGGCAGCTCACACCGCAGGCGCTGGCAGCTGATGAATAAACTAGGAAAAAGATCGAAATAATGAATACACACCCTAGGTCCAAGTACCTTCTCAGAAGGTGATTGGAGACTATTTATGTAAGCTTGGAGGGCCCAAGTACCTTCTCAGAAGGTGGCAGTGGATCCCTATAGGGACAACGAACACTTACTGCAAATTATACGGTGAAGACGGGTCTTTATGCCCTTGCCCGGGCAACGAAGAGATGTGTTTGCTCTCACGTGGAAAACGACTGCAGAAAGCATTTGGGCCTGCAACGTTCGGTAGAGAATCTAGGTTTTCTGGTGACTGGTGGTCCCAAAAAGCCTCTACACCCCGAAACAAGTAGTTTGGTGCATTGCCGGTTGGTTCAACACCAGATTTGACGGCTTTAGGCCATAACTCCACAACTTTCATCAGGTTTTGGCTAAGAAGAATTAAGGGCGAGATTCGGTGCACAGCCAGGTGTTGATATCTGAGTTCACGGTCCAAACGGATCCAGCAGGTACTTCCTGCAACAGGTGTTTTCACATGTTATCGCTTTGAAAGAGCCTCACAGAATCGGGAAAAGACCTCTAGGAAACCGTCCTTTTCTCGTGCTGGGATGATCCAAAAAGCCGAACGCCCACAGCGCTGTGTTTCGAGGATGTCCGTCTCCTTCGCCGTCGTGCTCATTAGCCTCTCAGCTACAGCACGATCGCCTCTCAGCCTCTCATGGTGATGTCCAAACCGAAGGTGGAAGGCGGTAGGTGCAGGGCCAAGGGACTGAAGCAATTTGGGTGGAATTCGAGGGGCTGAAGCTTTTGCCAGGAGGCCAGTTTGACTCTGTTCGAGTCGACTTCCGGTGAAAACCCACGGGTGCTTCGGATCTGTGCGGTCTTTTTCGGGTGGTGCAAGGGTTTCATATGGTTCGGCCGGACTCTTTGGTTGAGCTTCTTGGATCCTGCACCGAGTTTCCTGCCAAATCTGCAGCGCTGGTCAAGTCCAGGATCAATGACCGAGAATAAGAGAGTTCTCTGCCACGACGGCTGTCAATGTCCAGGCAACCACCAGGCGCCTGAGGGCCTAGCGAAATATTTATTGAAGTGCTGTGGCACCAGCTGTGGTTGGGATGTTTTTCAGCTGTTGAAAAGCATCCGCCAATGGCGAAGGAGTGACATGGCGCCAGCTGCATGGGTCTCTTTCAGAGGAAGTTCATGACAAGTCGGAGGATGTGCACGGAACGAAGCAACGACAGCCACAAGCCCCGCCGGAAGCCATTCAAGCGGTGGAGAAGCTGAGGAACTTTGGGCGTCACTTCTTGAGCTTGGGCGGAAGTTCTCGTTTCGGCGAGCCGGAAGGGTGTGGGTCTCCTTTCAACGGTTGCAGGTGCTAGGCCCTCGTGCCCGGTTCGAAGGATAAAGCAAGGTGCCCTGATCGAATGGAGCTCTCAACAACTTCAGATACTCGGCTCCGAAATGGCTGTAAGACGCGTGTGAGGAACGAGTTAACACTTGGCCGTTTGCAACGTGGTCACACGGTCGTTTGGAATGCTGCGTGCACCTCACCATGTTTGTTATGTACCCCTTTTTCCGGCCCCAAAAAAATCCGATGAAGAAAAAGGCCTTACTTGAAGTTAATTCAAAGCCACAACCCAGTGGGAGTGTCCACTTTGAGAGGCATTTCCATTCCAGCTGCTTGGTTGTCAATTAAAACGTCACCTCAGCACACAGCATATCACAGCATGGCATACTAGAGGGCTCTTGTAGCTGTGTGTCATGTCGCCCTGAAAACCATCACAGCAGGGAAACTAAACACAAGCATACTCGTGGTCAGCTCCCAAGTAGTCGCAATCCAAACCTTTTGACACGGATGTCGAAGCTCACGCACACCAAACAAGGTAGCCAGCCAAAGGAACCAGCATTGAACAGCCAGCATGATTTCCTTATTGTCGTCAGCGAAAAACAAAGGTCCCATCTTCTGAGGCGTCCAATGGCAGCAAAAACACCCTGCCGGTGCCCAAGGGCTTTACCCAAGCGTAACGGGCCTGCTGATGCCTTGCCAAAGCCCTTTCACGCTCCTGGCTGTTTGGAACCGGGCAGAAGCCGTGGATGTTGTTAGGATCAAATACAACGCGTTTTCCACCACTGGCTTCTCGGAGTGATTCGGTTGAAGGACCCTGAAGGACACCGGGGTTTGGTGAAGGACCCGAGTGCTTATTGTCTTGTTGTTCCTTTTTGTGTCTGTCTGTGCGTTCTTCTTTTCTCACATTGTGGACTTGTCCAACCGACAACACTCGCCGTTCCCAACAAAAACTGGAGAAGACACGAACGCCAAGCTCAACCCCTCGTGATATATCCCCAAAACAACTCGGTCGACGTCCCAGAACTCTGTCGGCTTCTCAAATTGACATAGTAACTTAACACATCACAGCTGCACATCAACTCCACTCCCACATGAAATCAACACTCTCATAACATCCCCAAACAAAATGACCTGTTTCGGAAACAGCCTTCACTTCTGTTTGCACCAGTAGCAGGTGAGTCTCCCTTTACTAAAAACTATGCAAGCCTTAAGTAGGATTACCTCTATGACTCTATGTCGCACATGCTTCCCAGGAAACATGGGAGTCGCCAGGGCTCCAAATCTCCAGCAAACAACATCCCTGTCCTTCACCCAGTAGAGAATCCTCGACCAGGGCTTTCTTTCAATGCCGCAGACTTAGAACAAACCCGGCTATACACACTTCAAATGTCCATCGAAATCTGGTGGATGAATTCCCAAGACTCAACCCCGTCCGAGATCTCAATGTTGATCTCTCCTCTCCAAGCCGAGCCAAAACACATCCGCGCGACGGCCACGACGGACCGGCATGGACCTCAGCGTTGGTCCGGTACTTCTCGGCGGAGATGCCACTTCCCATGGTGACCTGGGTGCCCCATGATTGGCCTTTTCAGGCCCAAAGGCTAAGGCCAAAGAGAGCAAGCGCAGCTGGCTTCTTGAAACCACGAGGTGGCGAAGTAGGAAGCTTTGGCTCTCGTGTTTTGGAAGCCTTGCGAAGTGTCAAACGGTTCTTTCTTTTGGGGGGGGTCAGACACGAACCAGATCAAACAAGCAGCATGTCGAAACGCATCGAACACGGAGCAGTCCTGTGTACCGAGACGCTTGGCGCAAAGCATCCCGCTCTGGTGACAAAGACCAATCGAATCCAGGAGCCCTGTGCACGTGACGATAAGACGTTGCTGGGCGAGGACCTCGAGGTGGCATGATTGGCTGAGAAAATTGCGAGCCTGGCAGGCCTGGCAGGGTTGGAAGCGGACTCACCAAACTGTTCTGTTCAGTCTTTGGTTGAATATACAAGGGGACACTACAATGCACTCCCGATAGATACAAATCATTCAGCGGATGTTGAGTGGGATGTGTGGCCACTTCTTGCAACTGCCACAAATTTCACGGTGCTTCAAACGCCAACTTCAGCCCTCATCGGTGTCTCTTGACCCCTCCCATTATATGCATGAAAAAAGCGAGCCTAACTTTGAGGACCGCGAACGCTGGAAGTGCTTGTCGCATTCCTCCTTCGAGGGCACTTGAGTTCGCTCAGGGGAATCGCCGCGCGGCAAGCCTGCGGAGCCTGCAATCAGGGTGGCGACTTCCCTAGCAAGGAGAACTTTCTCAAAAGGTTCCTCCTTGCATCAGGGCAAGAAAATGGAAGAAAGGACAAGGATGTCCTTTGTGTTTGCATGGTGTGGCACCCCAATCTCTTGTATGGCTTTCAGAGATGAAGCTTTGAGAAGTGATTTATTTGTCTTGCACCCATCAGCCAAACAAAGCTGTTGAGACAAGCCTGCCCTGCTGCTGCTTCCAGCACCACTCACATGCTCCGCTGCTTCCGGCGAGGAAGGTCGCTGCATGCCGCGACCCGAGGGTGAATGCATTCCAAAAGACCTACTGAGCAGCTTTGCGGAAGACCCTATCTGTTGGCCAAGATGGCTTTCAGGGCCTACAGCCCCCCCAAAATCCGAGATCCTCCCAGATGTGAGACTTACCGAGACGTTTGTGTCGTGATTCTGAAAAGAACTCATGCCGTTCCAACTATGTGAGCCGCTGTGAAAGCGCGAGGAGATAGAGAAAGTTTCTTCGCACCTGGTGAGGATAGCATTAGTTGCTTGATGTCAAGCGATTCTGGTGCAAAGCTGAATATTGATTGGACTTCCAACTTGCAAGTGCCCAAGTGTCAGGCTGAAGAGGCTTTCAATGACTACAATGCTTTTCTCTAATGCTCACACTTGCTGGTCAAATTTGATTGTTCCACACCCACACGAGCGATGAATTTGATTGGACTTCCAGATTGTGGTCAGGCGTGAGATGTGACCGCGAGGTGGTTGAAGTGTGTTTAGGGAAGTTGAGGGACTTGTGGGTGAACAAGCTTCAGGTGAGAAACTCCTAGCTTGCTGTCATACTGGACTTCAGAAGTCTTCCACAAGATTCATCCATGGTACCATGGAGGATCTGCAAAACTCTCTCTATTTCTCCTAGTCAAGCTGTTTTGTCTTGGGATGTGCATCTTCACTCGCCCCTGCCCTCAAACTTCCCAGGCTGGAGAGAAACGGCGAAACAAGTTGGCGGGATCATCTTTGCATCCACAGAGCTTCAGTATCCCTCGAGAAGTTCTTCAGCATCTTGAGTTGAATCAAAAATGAGAATAACACATATATACTATGTTGTGATTAGTGATTGAATGTTTGAATGCTGGATGTTCATCTAGGCAGCACAAACAATGGCACGCTGCGGCTCTTTCTCCACTCGCAAAACCAGTCCCACGGAGGTGAAACACGCTCAAGAAGTTCAGGCGAAATGCTTGCGCCGTTTGCACCTGCAAAAGCATGAGCCGTGAACATGTTTGAGTGAAGACCTCCGATACGAATACGAAACATGAGCCTACAATGAAACTATCCCACCGCAAGCGCAAGGTGACTTTGCTTTCATGTGTGAATTATTCAATATATATATATACACAGTAGTAGCTTAGGCTGGAGCAAAGACGTGCATGAAAACGATAATACTAGTATCACGCTGTACTCAAAACCCCTCACAGGTATGCCAGAGTTTTGACCATCCAAATAGGCACATCACCCACTGAAACAGAAACGCAATCGTCACAACAACCACAAACCAAAAAGAATACCCTCAGACAGTAGGCTGATGGTAGTAGTACGAAATGGGAGGCCTGCTGTTGTGCAATTGGAAGTTAGTTCTAGTTCGAGCGTTGTTACAGAATGAATATTTCTGGGCAAATGTTCAAAGCCTAAAAAGGTCGACACATGTCTGAAAATGATGTGAGCCGGATGGCCCCTGGTTTTGGGTGGTCCTGTTCATCTCTCTGCTACTGGAGGATGACTATATTCATTACCTCCACGTCCAGGCACACCTTCACGTCCACTTTTGGAGTTCGTCCAGCCACAGGAACGAAATCCACAGGCGCATGAAGCGCACAAAAGGACCACCAAGATTGGCGACTTGTGCAGTCGGTGTTTGTCAAAGTTTCGACCATACCAAGACGCAGAAGGTCACTGATAGCTCATTCCAGGCTTTGTTTCACTTGAGTTCACTATGGCACGGGGGGGACAAAAAGGTATGTTGCCGGTAGGAAAAATGCTGTTCAACTGCTGTGAATTCTAGTTGTATTGAGGTTTCGATTTCAGAATGGCCCAGTGGAGAATCAAGGCTTTGTGGAGGCTGGTGACAGCCTACCGTTCTGAAAAGAAGTCTGCACAGAAGCAACAATCTGAGTAGATTCCCCTGGCAACAACAAAGAAACAAGTAATCTGGTCCAAGGCTGATTCTTGTGAAGATCAGGTTTAGCTCTTTAGGCCAGAAACAACACGTGTCTTGAAATCGGCTGCATCTTCATCGGCCACTGAGTAGATCTAATTCAATCACATAAATATAAATATAAATATATATTCCATAACATATATATATTGTATTATATTGTATTGTTTCCATGCATGGGCATCAGTGTGGTCCTCCCAGTCAGTCACGTCGATGTCCGCCCATCTCCACCTGTTCCACCGGCCCCCGCCTCTCTTCCACGCGTCCTCTACCGGGAAGCCACGGAGTCCACAGCTCGGACGTTGCCGCCCAGCGACCCTAGGGCCTTTGCAGTGCAATGCATTCGGACTCATCCACTTCGGTTTGGGGTGTGGCTCCGGAACTCGGGTTCCCCCCCTGGATTTCTGGGTGGGTCGCGCTGTTTGGATGGGTCGAGCTCTTGGATCATCGCCAGGCGCAGGGCCAGGCGCTCGGGTGGTCTTTCTCATTCTCTGGGCAGGGTACCGAGAACTATGCTCCAAAGGCCCCCGGGGGCGCATCGAAGATCTGTCATTGCACAAGCCGAATGAACTGTTCCACTGGTTCCAAACAACAACCACGTCTGGACCTATCTGGCTAAGTGAATGACCTCCGACACGGCTCATAAACAGATTGCCCCGTTCTGCTTCATGATTCAACATGTTATGTTCAACATCGTAAAGCTATTGTATCTAGAAGTCATAAGTTATAAGTGTTAAAAACATGCGGACAGTCGTGAGTAGCGCAAGACATAGCAGCTCAAACTGTCAGTGCCCATCCCAGTGACGGTGGGAGAGAAAACCTCCGCGGTGGGAACCTGAAGACCACGGAGGGTTCTCGGGCTGCACTGGTCATCCAAACCACTGGGTTCTTTGGATGAAACAAACGAAAAACGACCAGAAAACTACCACTGTTCTCGGGTTGCACTACCACTACCACTAACACAGAAAACGACATCGGTTAAATGAATTTAACATATTGTAACATGGAACATGTTGAGATGACGGAAAGAAACACATGGGCTTGGTCCAGTCTGGTTCATGCCTTTTCCGGTTCCATGGGGGTCGAGCATGCCCGGTTCCATGGTTGAGCAGAAGCACCCGTTTCCCTTTTCCCCGTCCAAGCCTTTGGCGTCCTTTCTGTCAGTTTTCAGAGAAGCCTGAGGATATGGAACTGCCAGCTGACTGAGCGGAATGCATTGCACGCAAGACAAGGAACTTACACAGAATTCATGTCTTTGTCAAAATGATCAATTCACGAACAATCAGTGGATCCAATCATCTTGCCTACTACGAAACAGGTGATTGATGCACAAACGCCTGTCAGCAGGCATTTGGAAGTACCGTTTTTTGCCACGTGCAGTGCAGCACGTCTATCTGTCTGGTGATCATGGTATCATCGTGTCCATGTCGCGCGCCAGAGAACTCGTGCCTTCGGTGCCTGGGACGACGTCGGCGCGCCTGAGACGCTCCTGGAGTCGGTCCGCGGTCGGTGGGTCGAGCACCGAACGTCCTGCGCGAAGGACGAAGCAGCTAGATGGTCTAGCCAGCAGCCGACTGGATCAGAACTTGAGAAGCTATCAAAAGCAAAAGAAAACCTGGCAAAAATAGAGGACCCTGTAGACTGTAGATGGGCGAGCCGAGTGCAAGGGCGCCCAAGTGCGCTACATGACCTTTGAACGCGACACCCCCACATGCTCGTGAATGGCCACGTGCGTACCATGAGTGGAGAAGCACGTGCCTGCATCAGCTTCTGATTCTCCTCTTCTTTCCCATCCTGCGCGCCAACGCGGTGGCTTATGGCAGCATGGCATGCTCCAGGAGCTGGTTGAACACGTGCGGCACGTGGAAGTGGAAGGGGAAGTGGCACGTGTTGTACAACACTGTCCTGACATGTCCTGACACTCTTTCATGGAGCGCCGCCAGAAAAAACGACGATGTGTATACCAAAAAAACGGGATCAAACACTAAAACCTACGAGTAAGAGACCGTCCGCAAAGAATGAGCAAACAGACCCCGTAGGACCATTCTGAGATCGCCCAAAACGTCTTTCTTGTGCCACGCAAGCATCTAGCAACTGTTATGTTGATGTTTGCTGTTTGTGTTTGCGTTTCTTTTCTCGTCCCATGTCAGGCATGCCCCACACCGAAGTCAGTGTGCCTTCGAGTGAAGAGGAAATCCAAGAAGGTTTTCACACCTCAGTTGTTCCAAACCCCGTGGTACCCCTTCAAAGTATAAAAATCAAACAGAACGGGCGAAGGATCAAAAATAAGAGCAGCAAAAGATATTCCATGAAGATCAAGAAGAAAAACAAAAGGATCTGTATTTGTTCCCCGTGAGCATCAGGCAGCCCCCCCGGCAGAGCAAACCAAAACACAAAATCCACCCACAAAGAAATACGAAGGAGAACGAAAGGATGGAAATGATCGACCCAGCAAAGGTGAGCCCCATCATCCACCAGAGGACAATGAAAGGATTTTTGCAACACAAAAATAATCAACATAGACTTAGACGAGGGCGTACGGAAAAGGCAAGGAGATGCAGGCGGGGTGCCGTTTAAAGAATTGGTCTTCGTGGCAGGCGGGGTGCATTGGCAACTCCGCCACACAGATCATCCGAACCGACGCACGAGAAGAAGACGCACCATCAATGAAGGACGAAAAGGACATGTGAGGCAACCAGGGAGGGCGCCGGCCGCCCCTGTTCCACACCAGCCGTTTTTGGCCGCTTTGAGGCCCGAAAAGGCAGCAAAGGACCGACCAGAAGACCAGGTGACTAAACAAGGAACCAGGAGACCGAAGGACCAGGAAACCAATAGACTAGCGGACATCATCAGGACATGTCGTTTTGATCCTGTTAGAATTTCTTGACCTTGCTCTTATGTCTTGATCCTGTTCAATAGATGCCAAGCAACATCCCTTTTCCAAACAGATCAAACAACCAGCAATCCAACAAAACCCCCAGTGAGACATGAGCCCACACCCAATCAAACCTCGCTGGTTTTTGACAGGAACCTTTTTTAGAACCTGCTCCTGTCAGCTTCCCTTGCGCTTCTTCGAAGCTCTCAGAAAGGAATTGCGTCTTGGTGGGCTGGATGGTCCTGCACCTTTCTGGAACACCCGCTTGCAAAAAATCAGAAAAAAAAAAAACATGTATTGTTCGGGATCAAAACATGTGAAGAAAAACTCTTTGAGTTGAATGTCTCGAGCAAAAACACCGCAGGATTCCAGCTGAAAGTCCCAGTACAAATAGACAAACGACGAAAATGAATTCAATGTTGCTTTGACAGGTTCTGTCTTAGAACGTGCCGCCGTATTACGTCGTCAGATTCTTCGAAGCTTGTGTCGAGCAAGCAAGGCCTGGTCCGCTCTGGCTAGTCCTATCACCGTTCTGAGAACATCCTTTGGATGGACAGGCAACAATAAAACTGCGCAGATATTGTACTACGTACATGTCAATGCAGCTGTTGAAATCGATATGACACTTCAGATTAGATTGGTTCAGTTAAAAAAACGCACAATGCCTATCAACATCAAGTTCTCAGAACTCATAATCTCATCTAAGTTCACCCCTTCTGGCATTCCGACCAGAGGCATCGGGCGTCCGAGGTTCAGACAAGTCGAAGGGCTGAGACGTCGCGGCTGACTTGTCGCCGACGTCGCGGGAGACGGGGATGCGCAGAGGGCTTTGTGGCTCAGAGGTCGTCGGCTCACCATAGGCTTGAGATGGTTCAAGGTGAAAGGGCCTTGAAAGATATTGCTCCACTTTTCCCACTCGCCCACCAAGATCATCATGGAATAACCACACCTCTTGCAAACGATCCTCCACCTCTGCTTGGAGACTCCCCACATGAGCGCGCAGTGCATGACAACTCTCCACATGCACTTTCTCGCTGTAGGCCACACTGTCCTCCATGTCAGCGAGTTTCTTCTCGAAAGTCTCCAACCAGCCCTCCCGTAAGTCTCGGAAATTCTTCAACTCTTGCAACTCCTGTCCATGTGTAGCAAGCATGGTTTTCCTTAGTGCCACTCTTGCAAAAACAGCCACGGAACAGTTGGGTTCTTCTGCTCCGAAGCACGTCGCGACGGAAACAACGGCTGACCGCCTCCAAGTGCACCCAACGAGGCGGAAGTGTGTGTGTGTGTGTGTCAGAGCACGTGTGCAGCGCCTGTGGAAAGATGGGAATATGGTGGGAAGATAGGATCACATTGCATTAACTCATGAACTCTTGATAATTGCGTCGCTTGAACACTCCTCTGGTCCGTCATCGGCAACATAGTCGCTAGCCTTGTTTGAATTGCAGGACAAGCAGCGGAAAAGCATTGAAGCTCGGACGCATGTGTTCTGCGCGCGTTCACCGAAAACATGGTTGCAACATGTTGCACACGCTCCGCGCGCCCGCTTTTCTTCGCGTGCAGCCAATCGCGCAGGCGAAGAACCCGTGCTTCAGCCAGCTGCGCAGGCGAAGAACCGACCAGACCCGTCGAACACACCCGTGAACCGACGAACCGTCGAACCAGTGAAGAAAGGCTACGTCACAAGTCTCAGACCTCCGCTGACCGAAGCGAAGAAGCCACGAGTCGACAGGGACCACGAGAGAGGCGAGGGAGTCTCGGCGTTGGCGAAGAAGCACAGTGAGGGGATCGAGGGAAACATGCCGACGGACAGGATGAGTCGGTGAGGGTGTCGTCCAAGTAGTCACGATCCAGACTCGACGGACTCGACCAGCCTGTGAACTGGTTCGAACCCAGACTTGGTTGGTTTTAGGCTTAAGGGATCATCTACAGTAAAGCCATGGAGAGCCATAGGGCATGAGGGGTGTTGAAAAACCAGGGTTTCCTGCAGATGGTTCCCTTAAACCAATTCATTGATGGTCAGCGCACGGAAAAAAGAAGACGGTTCCGCTCGCCCCTCAGTTCCGCTGCTGAGCGCATACCTTCGACTGAACGAAGATGGAACTCTCTGGCGCCAACTGCTCATCGTACTAGTATGTGGGCTTCCCAAGAAACAACAGGAAGACCCTGAACTTGTTCATCAGAATCAGCTTCCGTGAGTGCCAGCGCCAGGGCACAACCAGGGCATCTTAGGGAAGACCGAACCAAACCACCCCTAACAAGCACAACGAGCTTAGGCGGGGTTGGTCATACACGGTTTCTGATCCAAACTGCTGATAAAGAACTTCCGAAGTTGTTACAACTGCTCATGAACAAGGAGAGTTCTCAGACAACCCTTCAAGCACTCGACCCTGGCAACTCATCAGCCACATAAAGGTCATCCTGCAAGCCTCCAGGATCTCATGAACAGACACAATTCTCCTTTATTTTTGCGCCTCCTCTGCCTTCCACCAACCATAGACTTCGGCGACGCGCCAAAGTAAGGCCTGGCCTTGCTCCACGAGTCCGGCACTAGACCTACGATGCTTCAATGGTCCTCTTCCGCGCCACACGGATACGCAGCCTTTGTTTGCCCCATTAGCGAGCCTTCGAGCGTCATGCAGCACCGAGCATGTTTTGGGGGAGCAAGAAGTGTTCCAACGCGTAGAGCTGGAGCGTTTGCGAAAACTCCGATGCATCTCCCGTTTCATGAGTCGACCTGAAGAACAGTCCAGCGAACATGCGACAGGCTGCTAGTCCAACAGCTGACGGCTCAAGAGTGTGCACCAGAAATCTCCAAAAATGCATCTCCAAGCATGGGCTCCGCGGCTCGCAAGTGTCGAGCTGTAACAAGGCTCGGCAAGCTCCCTGCGGTGCCTTCCGTTTTTCTCGTCCGGGCCTTCTCGCTAGAACCCGCTAGAATCGGCCAAAAGGCCCTTACTCAAACTCCTCCTTGACGGTCTTTTCTAAGGGAACTTGGTGCTAAAAATGCCGTCAGCTACGTACGCAGCTGCATCAACGTCCAGACACACCGTCTTTGAGCTGCAAACATCGCTATTCCCAGGGGTCACAAAGGGGTGGTGTTTGGTTCCTAAGTGAGTGGATGTTCTGGGCACCCCTAACCTCCAATAGGCACCCCTTTGTGACCCCTGGTTTACCTACTTTTAGCACACTGTTTTCCGTTCAAAAAATGGAACCGACCAATTCGCCAACGCGCTCCAAAAGATGCCGCCATGGCCAGCTGATGATGCAAAAAATGCCCTCATGCCGCATTGATGGAAACGATGCTCGTAAAAAAAACCGTTGCGGCATCACTCGCACCACCGTCGGCCGAGTCGCAGCGGGAAATCTTTTAAGACCCAATTTCTTGGATTTCAACCCTTCCAAAACCAATAGATCCAAAACCAATAGAACCAATGTTTTGGAAGGGTGGATCTCAACAGGCTCTCAATTCACCCTTCCAAAACCTCCCCTTCTCAGTTCGCCCGAACTTCCGCCATTCGCCCAATAGGGGCCTATCGGCTGGGACCGACCCTCTGGTGGTGTTTTCGGCATTCGACGGGTCCATTGAAGTTCACCATTCGCGCAGACCAGCAACTTCTTACCAACTCACGGTTCAGGTCCATGAAGCAGTCAAGAAACGCATGCCGCCTGCTTGCGCTGCTGTTTGAACAAGTCAACGAAACGAAGTCTCCTAATTGGTCGCCCAGATCCTCCCGACGCTCCCAGCCAAGGTTCAGATCTAAGATCTGTTGGGTAGATTGAAAGAACGATGCCATAGAGGTGGATTTCAGGGAAGCCAAATCTTTGGTCATGGTCTCGAACCGTTCATTCAAGCGAAGCACAGCACGATCCAGCTCCTGGTTGTGTTTTTGCGTGGTTGCAGTGCAGAGGAAACGAAACAAAAAGGTACACCCCCCTGGAACGAACATGGTTACGTGGATGGCATGGCCCCGATTTCGGAAGACCATGAAATCCACTACAAACAGGTGGTGAACTCCACTTCCATTTTAGTTCCAGGGAGAGTTTTTGAAAAGGATTTGAACAGGATTGCAACGTTTACAAAAACCTTAAATCTGACACGTGCAAAAGATGCCAAAAGGTCCTTCTTGTGCTGCGTCATTGTGACCTTCCTTAGCGTCAACGCAGTTCCAAACATGCTTCGCATAAAGCAATTTCTGGTGGTCTTTAGAGTCTTTGACCATCAATTTAGGCTTCTGCAAGTTCCCCACAATGGCCGCAAAGGTGGGAAGGTGGGAACAGTACAGACAGTCCATGCAACATCCCCGCCCGCCAAGCTTCAGTGTAGCATCCAATTCCTGGCCCAGGAAAGATCAGAGGAGCCGAGAAAGAAGTAAAGGTTCCGAGGACTGGCGCGGCGCTCCAGCCCCCAAAAACAAAGCAAGAAAGTCGAAGTTTGGGTTTAGGGTTTAGGGTTTTGGGTTTAGGGTTTTTAAGGAAAGGAATGCCATTCAAACTTCTGACAACGCCTTCCAACTTCCAACGTCTGAGTTTTGGCCAAACTGCAAAACGACCACAGTCCTCCTTGTGCTTCGCCATGGTGATCTTCCTTAGTGGCGATGTTTCCTCGTCGGTCACATCACCCGGACGTGCGAGTGGATTCCTCGCACGTTGTGAGTTATACCAACAACAAGAACAAGTTTTTCTGCAGTGGATTGAGAGTAGATGGCACAGACCCCAAGAGGTGGTTTAGAAGGACCCCCTTCTGTTCAAGTCTGTGTAAGTGGGACCGAGCTTCCATTCTGACATTCGTTTAGCGATGGTCTCCGTAGCCTCTTGGTGTGTGTCCTTAGCCTCTTGGTGCGTGTCTTTCTCCCATTCCTTTTCTTCAATGTCGCGTATTTTCGCTTGTAGGTCCAAAAGGATGTCCTTTGAAAGTTGGTTGGACTCAATGGCATCGACTCTGGCCGTCACACGTTCGAAGAAGCCTTCGATCTTGGCGCAAAGGTCGGCGTTCTTCCCGACATTCTGCTCCAGCACCAACAATCTGGGCTCCAAGTCGGACACGTCCACCTTACTGTAATGTCGACGAATGGGCACTGACACTTCGGGCCGCGGCAACGTGAGCGTACGGGGAGAGGCACGAGCTTGTCGCAGAGCCATGGGCTCTGCCATTGGCTCCATGATTTTCTCGTGCCAAGAACGACGCCCAGAACGACAGCTGCCACTGTTCTGGCACAACTAACACGCACTCTCAGTCAGCGGCTTCCTAATTGATCTAATTGTCTTTTGAGCTCAAATACAGGTCCTGCGAAATCTTCACATCAAATTCGAGCTGGTCATTGGAATGTTTCAAGCCACATTCGCCGTGTCAGGAATTGTTGCAGAAGCAATCGACGGGTGGGCCGGAAGCACAAAGAGGTACTTAAAAGAAAAGGCAAAGGCGGTTATGCAGAAAACGTCTGAGGTGTGGGGTTCAGGGGTTGCTTTGTATCACTTTTGTCTCTGCCAGACAATGTTGCTCAATTCCAGGCAGTTGAATATATATATATATATAATATTAAACAACCATCCTGCTCAATAATTGCATGTTGTTTCTGATCCAATCCATTGTTTCTATCTTTGGTCAGGGAAGGACAATTGAGCGGTGTCAAAAACCATCCGGAACTTCTATTAAGATTTTAAGAACCTTTCGAATTAAATAACCCAAAAGCAAAGGCCACAGTCCACGCAGTCCACATGCCACGCCGTACACTTGCGCGGACTGACATGTCGGGACACAAGAGCAAACATATGTTTATCCATGCTAGACTGAAAGACACGATCACGTGGGGTTGATCTGTAGACACCAAAAGCTGCAAGCAGCTGGAAGCCGCATTTCCTTATTGAAAGCCTCGCCGTTACAGACCGTAACACGAGTAGTTTAGGGAAGCAAATGGCCAGGACCCCAAACTCATAAAACTCATGGCTAGCGTGCCAGTTCTTGGTAGCTGGAACTGAGCTCCCAGACCATGAAACTGCTTGCGGCCTCGACCCTCGACCTGCGTAGAGGACTGTCTAAGACCGACTGCTGACCTGCACCACGAGGAAGCAAGTGTTTGCTTAACTTGAGTTTGTCAGTTGAACCTCCAATCCCCGCCCCTGTCGCGTCCGGACCCGCTTGTGGACCCGTTTTCCCCCCGGTCGTTGGCCGTATCGTTCGCTTCTTCGAAGCGAAGACGGAAGGCAGGTCGGCACGGTCGGCACGGTGCTGTCTGTCGTGCCATATCGGACTGGCTGGGAAGCGCAGTTTTTCTGGAAAACCCGATGAAAACATCGCACAAATGGGTTGAGGAAAAGGTATTGCATTCAAAAGAATGTGAAGACAAAGACACTCCTTGAGTTGAATGGCTGGGCAAAAATACCACAGGATTCCAGCTGACAATCCATCTAATTACAAATAACAAACCCTAATGAACCATTTCAATGCTTTGACAGGTTCTGTCTCAGAATCTGCCTTACGTCAGTACGTCGTCAGCTTCTTCGAAGCTTGTGTCGAGCAAGCAAGTGCATGTAATCGACGGACTGCACCATTCTGGCTAATCCGTTTCACCGTTCTGGGACAATCCTTTGGATGGACAGGCAGCGCTCTCTGATACAAGCCCTGTCGTTTCTTCAGCTGTGCTCCGTACACGGACGTATTCAGCTGTGGAACATCTTTTGGGGGGATATGCCTCTTATGGAGATGTGATTCGTTTTCCGAAAAAATGGAGAAGTAACGATGCCCATCAACATCAAAATCCCAGACCTGGTACTTTTCACTGCTGCTGAGCATTCTTCGAGATCGATCTCGGCTCATGTGCGACGTCGGGCTGAGACGTCGGGCCGCGCTTCGGAGGGATTGGGATGCGCAAGGTGCTTTGAGGTTCGGACGCGGCCAGCGGCTCACCATAGGCTTGAGGTGCGCAGTGAAAGGGCTTGGCAAGATAAAGTTCGATCTTCCCAACACGCGCACCATAATCAGCATGGACTGAGCACACCTCTTGCAAACTGTCCTCCACCTCTGCTTGGAGACTCTCTAGATGAACGCGCAGTGCATGAGAACTCTCCACATGCACTTTCTCACTGTAGGCCACACTGTCCTCCACTTCAACCATTCTCTTCTCAAAAGTCTCCAACCAGCTCTCCCGTAATTCTCGGAAATTTTGCAGCTGTTGCAACTCCTGTCCATGTTTAGAATATGTTGTTTTCCTTAGTGCCACTATTCCACCAACAAACACCGAAAGTGTTTTCTATTGCTCTGAAGCACTTGGAAACGGCAGGAAGCAAGGCTGACAACGTACTGTAGTGTTTCCGTACTCACCGCGCCAACCGTGCACAAACGAAGCGGAGCTGTTTGTGAGAGACACGAGACACCTTTGGAGGCAAATGTGCCCCCAAAAACACCCCCCTGACTCACTCGTCGTGTTCGTTCGACCTCGTGGAACTGGGTGACGGAAGATGGTTCCTTTGAGGGCGTGCGAAAACCCTCGCTACTGCTTTTACTAAGGTGCCTTCTTTCTTTTAAACCCAGGTTTCTGGGCATGTGGCATGTGTTTTCTGGACGCAGAAGTTCCCCCAGCGGCTCAGAGCGGCTCGTGCGTGTGTAGCCCGTAAGAAGACGGGAAGACAGTGGCAGGGTGGGATCATATCGTATTGTTTCTTGCCTTGGGTCGGTTGAACCACTCACGAACCACGTCACCAACATGGAAGCTGTGGTCTTTTGGAAGGCATGAGCAGCAGCTCGGATGCGGTTATCTGTTTGTGTGTGCACGGACCATGTTTTTCACAGATGTTCGGCCAGGAGTCCGCGGCCGCAGTGCAAAACGGGCGCAAAGTGAGAAAACCATTGGCTCAAGAGGCGAAAGATTTACGCCAACTGCTGCGCAGTTGAACAGCATCCACCAAAACAGACAGCAACTTCCGGGCAATATCAATATCTAAATCTATCTAAAGGGACAGCGCCCCAAAAAGACTTCCGAAAGCCACACCATAGCGTGTCAAGCGAAAGCCACAAACATCGTCAGACATGTGCAAAAGTAAAAAAAAGTGATTGCGCATGGTCTTCCCCGGCAAGATGTACACAAAGACACACCTCCAAGTGACATACAAATCAAATGACAGCAGAGTGCCTTCGCTCGTGGTACAGCAGCCTGCCCCACCACCCTGAGGCACCACTGAAACCCCATGCCGGCTCGGTGAGCCACTACCCCGCTGCGTAAGCGTTCGGCGCACCCGAAACCGGGTGCACTGGCATTGGCACTGCATGGCACTGCATGGATGGTTTGGGGAAACAGAAAGGAGACGAAAGGGCATGGGGCACCTACATGTCGGACCAAAATACCTCATGTGTCCCTCATGCAATGTATGGACTGGTGCGACTCGTAGGGAATGAGGGAATGAACCACCCCTGTAGACCCTTCAGGATCCATTCCGGTAAATTCCCTACTAAGCACCAGTCAGTCATGCAATGATTAAAGCTTTGAGGAAAGAAGATAAAAACCTTGCAATGCCGAACATGTTTTTCGTCAGTGCCAGTATCATACAATGTCAGGAAGCTAGCAGCTAGTGAAGCGGGAGTGTACCAGTAAAGTAGTTCAAACAGCAGTGAACAAACGCATGTCTGCTTGCTATTGTCTGTAACTAATTCAGAAGTCTCTTGCCCACCTCTTTCGAAGATCTTAGCAAGCCAAGCTTCAGATCCAAGATCTGCTGGCTAGTTTGATCTTGGAATGTGATAGAGTTGGATTTCAGGGAGAAAATATCTTTGGCCATTGTGTCGAACCTTTCGTTCAAGCGAAGCACGGCACGATCCAGCTCCTGGTTGTGTTTGAAAGAACGTGCAAAGGAAACAAGAACGTGCAAAGGAAACAAAACAAAAGGTTTTTGAAAAGGTTGCAACGTTGCTTTTAAAATACACAAATGTTAAACACTTTCAGTACTGCCAAATGAAGAACTTGCGAAAGTCCTTCTTGTGCTGCGACATTCTTACCTTCCTTAGCGCCAACGCAATTCCAGACAAACCACACAAATATCATTAAACAAATCCTGTTTGGCAATCACCCCAGGCTTCTGCAAGTATCCCAAAATGGCCACATGGCGAAGGTGAGACCAGTTCTACAGACAGTCATACATACAACATCCCCGCCCGCCAAGCTTCATTGTTTCATCCAATTCCTGACAGGCCCAAGAAAGATCAGAGGAGCCCGGAAAGAAGGAAACCCGACCGGCGTTCCGGTACCTAAGAAGGGTTGAAATTGATTGCCATTCAAACTTGTGACAACGCCTTCCAACTTCCAACGTCTGAGTTTGGCAAAACCAGTCCTCCTTGTGCTTCGCCAGTGCCGCCTTCCTCGGTCTGGCGAAGACGAAAAGATCAGGGGCAAAACACACACATTCTTTTCGCACACATCCTGCGGGTTTAAAAAACCAATGAAAACAAACTTTTTCATAAATAAATAAACAGGTAAAAACCCATGGTAAACCAGTTTTTAACCGGAAGCTGAGTGTCCATTCTTGCTCTTGGTCCGTGGTATCCGTCATCTTCTCGATGCGAACGAAATCGTGTTTCTCCCATTCTTGTTCAATCGAGCGCATTTTCTCTTGTAGGTCCACAAGGATGTCCTTTGCAAGCTGGTTGGATTCAAGGGCATCGACTCTGGCGGTCACACGCTCGAAGAAGCCTTCGATCTTGGCGCAAAGGTCGGCGTTCCTCCCGACATTCTGCTCCAGCGCTAACAATCTGGGCTCCAAGTTGCAAGGCACTTTTTGGTGACTGTAAGATCGAGGAATGGGCACGGACACCTCTGGACGCGGCAACGTGAGCGGTGCACGTGCTGGAGATCTCGTCATGGGTTCGCTCATCGGCTCGAAGGCACCCACTCTGGGCTCTGCCGCGGGCTCCATGACTGTCACTTCTCAGTCACAAGGGACACAGGCTAACCTCCTTTTTGAGCTCAGATACAGGTCCTGCCAACATCACTTTCGGCATTAAAAGGTGTCAAAGCCATGAGCCGCATCAAGAGTTGCCTGAAAACTCACCGATGGGTGGCCCGGGAGCACAAAGAGTGTATCAAGACAAAACCAGAGGTAGGTGTGGGAGAAGACGTCTGAAATGACATGAATAGGTGTAGGATGATGTGATTTCGGTAGGGAAGTGTGTGTGTGCGTGTGTGCGTGTGTGTACGCACACTATGCAAAGATGCGTGTACGTAAAATGTTATGTACGTTTGCGTGTGTAGGTCGACAGCATGTAACAATGTGACACCAAGCCTCGTTGACACCAGCGCTCCCGCTCCCCAGCGACACGCCGCAGGTCCCACACGCTCCCGCTTCCCGCGATTGTTTCGGTCTGGAAGCAGGGAGTGGAAACCCCCTTTGCCGCTGAGTTGTTTGTCTTCGCCAAAGTCCAATGTTTGTCGCTTCCACTCGCAACAACCCCCCAAAACAAGCGCACCAGGACCCCTACTGTCCACGGGCCATTGGACTACTGTTCAACACCATCTGGGACAGATGGCCACGACCATCCTGTCAAGGGCCATGCTGGCAGTATGTTAGTATGTTTGACAAACCTTCCCCCCTTTGCCTTCCTCTTTTGACCGTTTGGTTACATACTGAACATGTGGGGAATCCGTAGAGCACTCGAAAAAATCCTAGAATCCTGGAACTTGTTGAGTACGCTATAAAAATGCTGACAAAATTGCATGCACTAAGACTGAATACTGAATTCTGTAGCTGCGCAACTCTTTCAAGAACGCAACCACATCTATCTCTCATTCCAAACAGGTCTGTCTTGCATTTTCCACAAGGAAAACAACCGGTGCCACACCTCCAACGTCCTCCACCCCCGGTTTCGCGCCGCGTTGTCCTCCCCACCTCATCCAGTAACGTGTTCGAAACGTTCGAAACGCCGGTGGTCAGGACCGCTCCTGTACGGCTTTGAAGACACGCAACTGACGCAGCCCACGCAACTGACCTAGAATCATGGTTGTTCATAAACATAGAATGAATACATAGAATGAATGGGAGATAGAATGATGGTGTTGAGGGAAAAACGAAATGCCCATGGCAATCTAGATGATGCTACTGAACGGGCCGGAACCGCCTCAGTTTCCACCATCTCCAACGATGGGACTGGCCTCCTGGAGGCCTTCCACTCTCTGAGAATAAACGCGCTTGCCACCTGGACAAACCGACCCAAACTGATTGGCCAGTGTTCCTCTCTTCGGCCTACATGAGTTCCTGTCTCTGGAAACCCTATCAAATACTTTCCAAAAACAGCAGTTCAAAGTAGTTTCAGGTAAGACTTGACACAGACTTACCTAAAGTCAGACCGGCCGGGCCGCGAGTCCCGGGAGCTTTGTACGTCAGCGGTATCTACCTCCTCTAAAGGCTATGCCTTTACCAAGACTGAGCAGCAAACATGCAAGTGTTCAATCTTCTGCGACATGTGCAATCTCAGCACAAAAATGAAAAAAGAGAAGTTGGTTTCACAGAAACAAATCCCATTCCATACCTTGCACGTCATTTCTAACCCATTGTTTGTATCTTTGGTCAGGGAAGGACAGTTCAAGGACCCCAAAAGCAAAAGCCACAGTCACGCCACACGGTACTCTTGCGCGAGCTGACATGTCCCCACTTGGACAGGGACACAAGATCTACTAAAATGTTTTTGCACATGTGCAAACATATGTTTATCCGTTTGCTAGACTGAAGGACATGATCACATGGGGTTGATCTGCAGTCTTGATGTCAAATGTTGCAAGCAACTGTAGGCCGCATTTTCTTATTTAAACCTTGCCGTTACAGACCGTAACACGAGTAGGTTAGGGAAGCAAATGGCTAGGACCCCAAACTCATAAAACCATAAAACTCATGGCTAGCGCGCCAGTTCTTGGTAGCTGGAACTGAGCTCCCAAACAATGAAACTGGCGGCCTCGATCCCGACCTGCGAATAGAACAGTCCAAGACCGCCTTTTGACCCAAGCCGCGTGGATTTGCAACAAGTCGCACGAAGTTCAAAACCAAACAAAACCCATACAGTATGTCCAAACAAATCAAACAGTCACAATCCAACCAACCATCCCAGTGGAACATGAGCCCACACTGAATCACACTCCACGGGTTTTTCACAGGTACCTTTTCGGAACCTCTTGCTGTTGGCACTTGTCGTTTCTTCGAAACTCTCAGCAAGGAATTGTACATGTGGACGGGATGATCGCTGCAGCTTTCTGGAAAACCCATTTGCACAAATGGGCATAACATGACAATTGTTCCGAATCAAAACATGTGAAGAAAAACTCCTTGAGTTGAATGTCTGAGCAAAAGCACCGCAGGGTTCCAGCTGAAAGTCCACGTACAAATAACAAACCCTAATGAACAATTTCATAATGCTGTGGACAGGTTCTGTCTCAGAACCTGCCGCCGTATTACGTCGTCAGCTTCTTCGAAGCGTTAGTAAGGACTGTGCGTGTCATCGGTGGGACTGCACCGTTCTGGCGTCCGCCCATCAACATCAGGTTCTCAGAACTCATGATTTCCCTGCTTCTGAGCGTTCCGACCGGAGGCATCGGGCGTCCGAGGTTCAAAAGATTCCGAGGGCTGAGACGTCGGGCCGTGGTCTTGGAAGACGGGGATGCGCAGTGGGCTTTGTGGTTCGGAGGTCGTCGGCTCACCATAAGCTTGAGATGGTTCAAGGTGAAAGGGCCTTGAAAGATATTGCTCGGTTTTCCCAACACGTCCACCAAGATCATCATGGAATAACCACACCTCTTCCAAACGGTCCTCCACCTCTGCTTGGAGACTCCCCACATGAGCGCGCAGTGCATGACAACTCTCCACATGCACTTTGTCACTGTAAGCCACACTGTCCTCCATTTCAGCGAGTTTTTTCTCGAAAGTCTCCAACCAGCTCTCCCGCAATTCTCGGAAATTGTTCAACTCTTGCAACTCCTGCCCATGTGTAGAAAGTGTTGCTATCCTGAGTGCCACGACGCACCAAAAAACACGATAAATGATTTTGGGAAAGTGTCAGGAAGCAAGGTTGACAATGTAGTATTTGCCCGCTCACCGCCCCAAGCGTGCACAAACAAGGAGCTGAAAGTCAAAGTGTGCACACGTGTGAGTATGTGTGTGTGTATGTGTGTCACACCCTGTCTCTAAGGGTCCTCCACCAACTTTACAATTTTTTATCAGCAAGGGGTAGCCGCAGTTCATTTGGGACTGCTACCAGCGAAGACGCCCGTTTGATCTGGTGACATCAGAGTTGGCCACTCTGACGTACGTGCTTTCAACCTTTCTGAGCTTTCTTGAACCTACGTAAGGACAAAGCTGTCTACTTCGGTGGTTCTTGCGGTAAAGAGCTACTGCAGTAAAGTGCTAATGCAACGGTGAACAATAACTTATTGAATGCGCGACCCGTTGAGCTCTCTATCTAAGTGTGTCCAGCAACATTGTCCCACTGCGGTGTGATCCCTTCGGGGCGCGTACTAATAATACTGCACACTTCACCCCTTTGCCGGGAAGGTCATGTGAAATGAATGAATCGCTCTTGCAGTCGGATTTCAGCTGTAAACCAAACTACGGACCATTTTCTTCAGATTTGCATAGGAACGGTAATTTTCAGCCTGTCTAGGATCTGAAACTTAGCTGGTGTACAGATGCCATCCGCTTTTTGCCACTTAGGTTAGGATTTATGAGTAATTCACCCGAATTCGTTCTTTCTCCCTGCAAGCCCACCGTCGCGTTTCATAGCTGCCGACGCTGCGCCGTGCTGCAGAGCCGCTGAGCTGCTGAGCTGTGACACCCCACAGCCTCCCCACACTCCATCAGCTCGCCCCCAATCATGACAACCCAACCCACGAAGGCACCGCCTGCAACCCATCCTCTTCAGGGAGTTTGGAAACCTCCGGCCTCCGGCACCATTCAGACCCCCTGCTGCTGCCGCTGTCACAGTGTGGATGGTTCAATGTCCCACTGATTGCGTTTGGGTTGGCGGTTCTCTTCATTGGGAAGAAGTGTGAGGGCACTGAGTCTGTTGGCGGACCTGTCTGATTGTGGGTTAGGAGGAGTGTGAGAGTCACTGGACGCTGTGGAGCTGGAAGTTTACCGGCGGTGGGGGCGGCGTCGGCTGCGGTGACGATGGTGATGTCTGCGTAGCAGTTGGGGTGGAGGTGTCCTGGTTGGTTGAAGGCGGTGGAGGAGGCGATGTGGCTGCTGCTGGGGTTGCAATGATTGAGTCGGTGGCTGTTGAGTCTGTGGCTGTTGAGAAGGCTGGGGAAGTTGTTCTCCTAGTTTCTGGGTCTTGCTGGACGGCCCACATTCCTCGGAGACACCACTCTCCAGGGTACCTACCCTCCTATTCCACTTGACTACTCAACTCCAGCATGCCGCCGAAGTAGCCGAGAACCTGCATATACTATCCTTCTTCGCCTGTGGCAATCCGAACTACGACATGACCAACCTTCCCACCTGACACCTTGTCCCCACCAGCCCCTATTGCCATTCGTTTTCCTTGCCAACTCAACCACACCATTGGACTCCACACCTGCGCCAGCACCTGCGGCTTCTACCCACACATGCCGCGGTCAGGCCCCACCCACGGAAATCCACGACTGGAGCGATTGGGACGGTGAACATTACATTTTCCTTGCCGAACTGAACAGCAACCCACAACTCCGCCCCAGTGGCGCTACGTATCCAGATTCCAGTTTTCCGTCAAACAAGGCCAACAACGCTGGTCCGAACTTCTGGACGTACAGCCCCAGTTTGACCTCATGAACACCGCTCGCTCCGCCTCTCCACTCCCTCTGCCTTCTCCACCAGTCCCACCCGAGCCATCCGCACACGACAGAACACCTCGACCGCCGCCGTCATCCACTTCACCGGCGGACACAGCTGCCGCCACTGCCGTCGCCGCTGCTGCTCGCGCTGACACTGACTCCGATGAAGCTGCCACTCGAGCTGCCGTTGATGAAGCTGAGAGATCATCACACACCTACTTGTGACAGGATTGCACTGTTTCCCAAAGTTTCACCTCAAGCTCCCTCGGCGTCCCCGAGCAGACTTCTCATTGCTTTGTTTGAGTTTTCACCCACTTTCTGTTTTCAAGTGTTATGCATCGCACTGTTGAGCTCGCTGACTGCTTCAGCTTTACATTCCTAACCCTAGCATTTACACTGCCACTTTGTCATATGTATCCGCCGACTCACCAGATTCTTGCATCACCTCCTGTAACGCAGCCGCTTTTTTCGCAGACGATATCTCCAACCACATCCCCAGCCACTTTTGCTTCGATCAGCGAGATCATGGCAACTCATCGCGACCTCACCAGAGGAGGCCGGCCAGACCTTCTCAACACTCAATTTGCTCCCTTTACACTACCACCACCGCTGGTCCTTCAAGGGAACCAACCCAGAAATGTTCTGCAGCTAGATCTCTGTAAGTCACACTATCTTTCCTTTCATGCATGGCTCGACTCCACGGATGGCTTGACTACACGATCAAAAACGAAAATACTGTTAACGACCATATTTTTCCATACGAAACCGGAAAATTATGCCAAAGCACTCCAAAAGATGCCGTCATGCCGAGTTGATGATGCAAAAGACGCCATCATGCTCAGTTGACGACGCAAATATCAACCAGTGCGACATCACTCGCATCACAGGGGCCCTCACGTAAGGACATTTCGCCCACCCAATTTGTCGCTCTCCCCCAGCTTCACCCTTTCAGAACCTTCCTTTTGTACCCTACGCCGCCACACACCCTCTACAGACAGAGCTTCAACCTAGCCTATCAGCTGGCTTTCGTAAAAATGTCCCTTGTTGCGTAGTTGGTTGAGTAATGCAGTCTTTAAACACCCTGAGAGGAAAGAAGATGAAACAATTGCAATGCCAGAAATGCTTTTCGTTGTGCCAGTATCACATAGTGCCAGGAAGCTAGTGAAGCAGAATTGTAACAGTAAAGTAGTTCAAACATCTTGTTGAACTAACTATTCCTGTCCTGCTTGCTGTTGTCTGTAGTTAACACAGAAGTCTCTTGCCCACCTTCCTTCCATCTGAGCAAGCCAAGCTTCAGACCAAAGATCTGCTGGTTAGTTTGATCTTGGAATGTCAGAGCGTTGGACTTCAGGGAAACGAAATCTTTCGTCATGGTCTCGAACCTGTCGTTCAAGCGAAGCACCGTACGATCCAGCTCCTGGCCATGTTTGAAAGAACGCATTGTGTCATGGCCCTTAAAGAAAGACACAAATGTCAACCGAGGACCGGCACTCCGGTCCACCCTAAGAAAATTGAAATTGATTGCCATTCAAACTTCTGACAACGCCTTCCAACTTTCACCTCTGAGTTTGGGAAAACTGCAAAACTTATAGTCCTCCTTGTGCTTCTTGTGCTTCGCCATTGTTGTCTTCCTCGGTGGCACTAGCTCCAAAAAACAACAGTGGAGATCAATCGCTGTGTTTTCACACACTCTGCAAATTACAAACAACGAACATAAAAATGTTAAGCAGCACTGAGTTGCCATTCTGAGATCTTTTTTGCCATTGTCTCCATTGCCTCCTCGTGTGTTTCCTTCCACTCTTGGAACGTTTCTGCCATCTTCTGCACCACCTGAACGAAATCGGCTTTCTCCCATTCTTGTTCAATCGAGCGCATTTTCTCTTGTAGGTCCACAAGGATGTCCTTTGAAAGTTGTTTGGATTCAAGGGCATCTACTCTGGCGGTCACACGCTCGAAGAAGCCTTCGATCTTGGCGCAAAGGTCGGCGTTCCTCCCAACATTCTGCTCCAGCGCTAACAATCTTGGCTCCAAGTTATGAGCCACTTTTGTTTGACTGTAAGATCGAGGAATGGGCACAGACACCTCTGGGCGAGGCACCGTGAGCGGTGCACGTGCCGGAGAGCTCGTCATTGGTTCACTGACCGGCTCCAAAGCACGAACTCTGGGCTCTGCCATGGGCTCCATGACTGCCACTTCTCAGTCACAAGGGACACAGGCTAACCTCCTTTTTGAGCTCAGATACTGGTCGCAAGTGACAAAAAGGGCTCTCAGTCAAAGCGTTTCCATTTTTTTTTTGAGCTCAGACACAGGTCCAAGATCTTCATCAGTCACGTCGGCTTCGTCGGCATAAAAAAGCTTCAAGCCCGTTAGCCGCATCAAGATTTGCTTATATAAGAACCAAACGACGAGTAGCCCAGGAGCAAAAAGAGTGTACACAACAAAACAAAACCAGAGGTAGGTATGGGATAAGACGTCTGAAATAAATTGAAATAACACGTAGAGGAAGCGTGTGCGTATGCAAATATGCATGAACGTGAAATGTTATGTACGTTTGCGTGTGTAGGTCGGCAGCATGTAACAATGTGAAACCACCAAGCCTCGTTGACACCACCGCTCCCGCTCCCCAGCGACACACCGCAGGTCCCACACGCTCCCGCTTCCCGCCGCCCAACACCACGGTGTCGCCACACAAACGCACGTGTTTCCCAGGTGTCACAGCGACATCACAGAAGTAGTTTCTAATGTTCAGTCACTTTTCACAGACGCAACTACTCCCACTGTTCTGTCACAAGTGACAGAAAGGGCTCTCAGTCAAAGCGTTTCTAAATTCCTTTTTGAGCTCACATCGGATTCGGCATTCGAATGTTTCAGGCTGCAGTTGGCATCAGGATTTGGTGATGAACTAGACGATGGATGGGCCGGAGCACAAAGAGTGTATAAAACAAGACAAAGCCAGAGGTATGTATGGGGTAAAAAGTCTGAGTTGACATGTATAGATGTAGGATCATGTAGCTAGGGAAGTGTGTATCTATGCAAAAATGATTCAAAAGAAACAAGAGGTTCATGTAATTTGCATATGTACCCCCCAACAGCAGCAGCACGTCGGTGGCGTACGAGTAAACCCTGCGCGACACACGAAGCTACACGAAGCTACGTGACCTAAACGCACTGAACGCGCGAGACGTCCGAACAAATTTTGACAAAGCTCAGCATTTCGTACCAACCGTCCTTGAACTTTGGAGACGTTTTTCAGCTTCCAAAATCTGAACCTTTTCGACGGGACTCTTCGCCCTATGTCCAGGGCCCAGTGGATGATGATGGTTACGTTGCAGGCCTTGTTCAAAAATAGTGGTAGTTGTTTTCGGGTCCTGTTACAGGTAAGAACGGACAGACCCAAGGTATATATGGTAATAAGCTGTGCTCCGCTCTGACATACGCATGCTAGATAACCAGCGAAGATATGCACGTGCACGTCTACATATGCATGTATACACGTGCAAGCTGCAAAGCAACACTATGCATCTGTGACAAGCAGTGCACTCTTACATATGCTCCTGTACCAAGCAAATGTAGAAGTAGCAATGTACGAGAGGTAGGTCTTCAAATAGCACGTCCTTTCAACAAAAGAACCCTTCCGCAGACTCAATGCTCACATGCTACACAAAACCCATTCTTGCAAAGTCATTCCGGAAATTAGTTGCTGTCTGACACACAGCGGAAACATGAAGAGGCAGAAATCACATGCCCAGTTGTGCCTGCAACATCTCTGCTGCAAAACCTCAGAAGACCCTTCCGAAAGAACAAGGCAGTCGTAGGATGAGGTATTCAGTCTTTTTCAAGAAGGATGCCGTTTCAATACCAACACGTCTCAATGCAGAAACAAAACAACACTGTGAAAAAAACATAAGAGCCCGGCGCCAGTGGCGCAGTAGGGCAGCTCACAACACTGGAGGCGCTGTGGTGATGAAAAAGAAATTGATTGGGCTCTGTCTTGTAATATACCATCATCGTTTGCCGTATGAACCTGCTGTGTTTTCTATCCCCTGGCTACGGCCTAACAACAAGGAGATATTGGATGGTGTTGTTGTTGGTGGAAGAAGGTCATGCTTCTAGGTCTAAGTCGAAGTGTTCCTAGACTTCATGTCTGCCGAAGCCCTTCGTGCTGTTGTTTGTTGTGAAGCTTCTGCTGTAACCATTCTGAAAGGCTTTCATTTCAGGGTACACATGCGGAGAACCTAGGCTTTCGTCCTACCATCTATGTCGGTCCAAAGAAACTTCCCGCAAGTGAAAATATCTGAGCAAATGTCTCACAGGCCAGATGTCTCACTAATCGGCTTCGTTGCTGGTCTTCGGTCTAGAAGAACTATTTGATGGTCGTTGCTACATGGATGACTGTGGTGATTCTAGAGGCCAAACAAAACACCGTCAACCGTTGAGTTGAGTTCCTCTGTCGAACGCGTCACGGTTTCGCCAGGACGACCGACCAACGCGTCCCACTTGTTTCTTGTCAGGTCTGAGCCAGACACGACCCGAATTCTGGGAACCTGACAGCGGTCTGGTGCGCGTCTTTCGACGAAGAGAAGACGCAAAAACCACCCGAAAGGTCCATGAACCACCCCGCGAAACACCCCGGAACCTAATCGAAAAACCAGCGAAACGGCGCGACTCGTCCCTAACGAGAACCCGGTCTTCTCCCCGACTCTTTGCTCAAAAGACTGCCTCTCAGTCCGACCCCGAAAGAAATTTAGCGAAGGGAATGGTGCGTCTGGAACCCGAACAAACCATCCAGCACCGATTCCTGGACCGAGCTCGCGAGCTCACGAGCTCACGTGTTCCGGACTGGACGCAAGCTGGATGCGTGGGACGCATGGGTGGACGACACCCACACAACGGCTGAAGCGATTTCGGAGGCCACGGTCGCCCGGTGCTGCTCCAAAACAGGGCAGAAACGGTCGCCGCTTCGGCACACGTGTCGCACGACGTGCGTTTCGTCGGAAGGGCCACTAGAAGCGTGTCATCACGTCGAGGTCGGTCGGCCCTTGGGCCCCATCGACTTCATCGCACGGAGGTCGGACGTGTTCGATTCGCTTCGATTCGCTTTGGCGAAAATCCGATAGCTCGATGGCTGGAAAGCACCAACAGCGTGTCGCCCAAGCGTGCTTGCGCTGTCCGCGCAGGCGCTGGTGCTTGCGCTGTCCACGGGGTGGACCCAAGCGACATGTGGCACATGGAGGCTGACGTGCCAAGTGCTAAGACCAGCAGAGGTTGAAGAACCCTATAGACTATCCTATAGGTACTCCTGTAGGGTTCTTATATGGTCACTTAACCTCTGTAGGGACTTCGGTTTTTAAAGGCAAGGGCTGAGGTGCACGGCCTGGACGGTGTGTCGACCTCGTTTGGATCCAAAGAAGTGGACCTTCCAAGACCAAAAAGGGTCTCCTAATTGGGATGTGTTCACTGCCTGGACCAGTTGGGAACCGGAAGCTGAAAAAGGCGTTCTGCAAAAACTTTACTGTTGATGGATGGGGGCAGGGAAGGAAAGGGGATGGAAGAGGACTTCAATTGGTCCATGGGAGTGATAGCCTTCAATTCGTGGTCAAGTGTCCATCATTCAGTCCAAGGGGATGGCCAGGCCACGGAATCTTCCCACACCAAGCGGCTTGGCGTTGCAGAAGGCCTCAAGACTTCTTCTACAAACACCACGCGGCTTGTCTACAAACACCACGGGGCTGAAGCAATTTTTGGAGCCTCGACGATGCGGGGAATCAGCAGAGTGGTTCTTTCAAATACATGATCTGCACCTCAACAGGCAGGCTTTGACTGGATGCCATGTTCGATTGATCATGGAAGCACTGCTAAAGCAGTAGGTCTCGGCAAGGCCTTCAATCACCCCAACTCCGCCGAGGCCTAGGCGATCCCGGTCCCCAGCACAGTTGAAACGGGAGTCACAGTTGAAAAAGGACCGATGTTTCAGACTGGGTCAGTCCTTTCGCTCCTTCCAAGGACGCAGGTCCTTCCTCGGACGCAGGTCCTTGGTCCTTGGTCTGGATTGCTTCCTTGGAGGTCCTTGAGGCAGATCAGTCCGAAGAGCGACCTCACAAACATCCCAATCATTGATGGAATCGATCGGGCTCTGCTGGTGGGTAGACCTGCCCTGCGAGCAGGGCCGATCACAAGTCTGTGACAGGAGCGGCTGTGGGTGCTGAGTCCCTCCAGCCACCCAAATGCATAAAAGGCTTGGCGTCTGGCTGCCACTTGATGTGAACGGCAAGTGGCCATTCTTGGTGCATGTTCTTTCATGCCTGTGTTTCCCTCTAGCAAAATGATAGCAGGGCAGGTTACGCTACCTCGATCGAGGCTTCACTAAAAGGGCTTCAGTAGAGGATATGAGCAAAGCCCCGAGCGCGTTCCAAGGCCATCCGAAGGTCGAACACATTGGACCACCAGAACTGCTCGATGAAACCTCGACCGATCAATTCCTGCGAGGTTCGATTCGGCCGGCAGGTGACCAGGTTGTAGTCCAGCGACGGCTCAGCGCCCGCCAGCACTCGACGGCTCAGCGCCCGTGAACTACTACGGTGACCACCAGACGGGGACGGCGGGGCTCGGCTCAATGAACTACGGCTTCGCCAATGAAACCGGTTGAAACTGTGGATCGACCTTTGTTTCAACATCATAACATATTGATTGCAATGTAAACCAACACCAAATGCTCAGAATGTGCAACACCAAATGGCGCTCCACATCTCGGACTTCAAGGATGGACGGTCTCCGAGAACGAAACACTGGCCGCCTCGGAACTGGGATCTTCCCCAAAACGGAGTGGACAATTGGACGGGTGGGTCTGCCGACTCAACTGGCACCACGAAGGTGCCAAAAGACGGACTGGTGCGATTCGTAGGGAAATAGAGGGGATGATCTGCCAATATAGAGATTCAATTTCGATCCATTTCCTCATTCCCTACTAAGCACAAGTCAGAAGAAGAATGGGTCACCAATGAGCCAAAAGAAGAATGCACCAGAATCCTGATGAGCGAACCTTCTGGTTTTGTGCAAGGACCAGCACCAGAATGCTCACCTGGTCGGCACTCTCGTTTGTTCCTAGAATCATGGCCGTCTGAATCTCCTGTCAGTCTCCTTCTCCTGAACGACCCCGATCAGTTGCAAATGGCTGGATCAAAAGCGTATCATCCTACAGAATGATGAACTTGACACGAACTGCTCGAACTGCTTGGTATCAGAATAAGTTGGACTATGCTCCTGGTGAAATTTGATGGGCACCGCAACACCGGTGCTGCGAACTCTTGCCTGATCCTTTGGGAATACAAGCTCTGGCCAGTACTTGCGGAACACGGAGCTGGTATCTCCTTTCCAAGTTGTGACACTTCTCAGGATATGCTTGCCACAGCCTTTTGGCCAGTCCTGCGATTCCACTGTCAAGTCTCAGATGCTGGGCAGACGCAGCAGCTCGCAAAGATGGCCTCGTCCGTGAGCTTCCAGCCATCCTCACCCAACAGCGGAAACGAGTGCATGCAGGTCATCAAGGAATCACTGGGCACGTCAAGGGGTAGAGAATCACTGATCACTTTCAGTGATGATTTGGGACCTTGGCCAAAGAAAGCTTGATGGCTCTGGCTCAAACTCCTTCCAAAATCAAAAGATGCACTGTACTTTGGATCTTAGACCAATTACTTCACTTAAAATGGATGATAGCAGTTTTTAGTAGTTGCCCCATCTATCCCCAAGGTGTTTAGCGGTTGAGGTGCATGCAAAACCCATATTATAGATGGCACAAGGCCATGTGTCCAATTTGCGCAATGTATACCAGAAACTACCAAAAAGGTTGAAAAACGTGAGGATTTTGGATCATGTTGCTTTTTTGTGCCAAAACCCGGTTAGCGCGGTGTTTGACGGAAACCTTTGCTGGGGGATGTTGCATAATTACGCCCCTTTGGATGATGCAGAGACTGTGATGAGCCAGCGAATTGGTAGGATGGTGTCGGTTTTTAATTTTTCAAGAGCAATCCAGTTGTTTCAGTCAAATGTCTTCACAACATACCGAGCCAGAACCTATCGTTTCCGCCGCGAGCGAGAAGCTGGTACTGAGCTTGACTTCTTTCGTCTAGTAGATAGTACAGTTATACTGCCCAACATAGAAACAACGCCCCAAAATACAGGAGCATCCGGCAAGCCACAAGCTTCCGCGTCTAGCGCGTCTAGCAGGCAGTGAGGCAGGACCACAGCAAAGATGTTTCTGTAACTTAGACAAGCACCCAATTTCTAAGGGGCAGTGCGGGTAGGTCCGGCGGTATCCCAAGATACTGTCGCTCCTTACTAAGTCAAGAGGTAGGGAGCCATTTTGTTCAGCAGTTAATGTCTTGATATCGAACGCACCTGCTACTGCTACATTACCTGACTGAGAGAAGAGGACACCCCGAAGTGGCAAAGGCACTACAGAAGGAGGTAAAGGCAGTTCATTGTAGCTCCAGGTCTATTTGCAGATGCTGTCGGAAGTCCAACAAAGGCGTCGGCTGTAGGGAGCTACTGCTACTGTTAACTGTTTACCTGAGTGCTCCCTAAATCCACTTGGCAGGAAAGGGCACTACATGAGCACTCTGCCTGCACGTCGGCTCAAAGCCAAACCTTGCAGGGTCTGCAAAAGAAGACTGCCAACGGCGGAATCGGCCCCCACATGGCAGAGGGCGCGAACCGAACCGTGAGTCATGTTCAGCAGACGGACTGGGAAGAAGACAGCTTCCTTCGAATGAATCTTACCACTCTAGCAGGCACGGTGATACAGCTCCATGTCCCCGTCAGCATCTACCACACTTGGGACACGCTGGAGGAATACCTGATCGAGCACCTGCCATGCATCAGTCCCATCGAGACATTTGGGTGCGAACTCATCTTGCTCAATGCGGATACGCAGGTGGCGCTTCAAGATTCTGTGCAGGAAGAAC